TCATCATCATCATCATCATCATCATCATCATCATCATCATCATCATCCACAAAAAAGCTGGCGTTCCTGTTCCAAACCCAAAGAACAAAAACACATACACATCCTACATATGTCATATATGTCTTTCTCCACGCCCGGTGGCTAAGGCAGCACAGTTTCCAGCCGCCGTTTCCAGCCCCCCAACAACGCTGAGCCGGAACCCGCTCGGGCTCTGCTCCGAAAAAAACCTGAGGTGGAGCAAAAGGGCCATTGGGAGAATCGGATGATGAACGTCCTCCGAAAGAACCGCGTCCGGAGCAAGGCGCGCCCAAGACAGCGGCGCAGCCGAAGAAAGCCGTTAAGCTACTTCCGTAGCCGAAGAAAGCGAATTGGGATTTTGGTTGGTGGGGGTTGGGTGGTGATCTCGTAATATGTGAGAACCTTTTTGTGGAGATGAATGAGCGTTTTGGCTTCCAAGACCCTTTCCACACTTTCGATGCGGTGGCGCAAGAAAAGATCCGAGCACCCAGCCAGGGTTTGTCAAGCAGGCCGATACGCCCACCCTAATCCACCCCTTCAGGTTGAGTGCTCACCCGCGATCACCACGGCCCACTAATTGTTGTTGGGTGTTGATTGCATGACCCTGCTCTTATTTGTTCCTGCTGTACGTGCCCCATGACGACAACGCTTGGACGCTTTGGACATGTTTGCCAGATGTTTTTGTACACCCACGACATCCCAAGACCAATACGAAAGCTTAGTTTTACACAGGGGGAGACTCCCGGAACCGTCCTGATTCGCATGCTTGGACCAATGACGACTCAGTATAAAAATATGTATAATGCTCCTCAACATGTTTCAACATGTCTTTTAACTCCATCATATCCTGCTGGACTTAAACATGCTCTATGTTCAGATGGACCTCAGTCCCGAAGACTATTTTTTCCAGACCCGTTTTGGCGTTGCCGTGGGCGTGAGGTTGCTAACCTCCAAGCTCAGCAACAAGCACAGCTTCAGGAGCGCCGTGAAAAACTCTGCCAGATCTCAAGGAGGTTCTGAAAACGGTTCTGAAAAAGCCTAAAACATGTTTTGCCCGTTGTGTTTTTCACCAACACTCAAACGTTGCGCTTGTGATTGTTATACTGAAGGAAAGTGAGATAGGACTTTGCATGGTTTCAGGAGGTGTCGATTGAAGCTTTCATCGGTCATGTTTTCTACTTGGGCGCGGTCCAGTACTTTACTTAAAGTATCTTAAAGTTATGTACTTGCAGAATGTCCACAACTCCTATGTCATCCTGCTGTGTACTGCATTTGGCAACCCTGTCTACTGACTGACTTAATCGTTGTGGCCCACAAACCCTATGTCCCTAGCCCAGCAAATTCCTATGCCCTCAGTACAATTGAGACAGTTCCAGAAATTCAGCCAGTCGATCCCTTGGTGCCGATCGAGGATATATATCACTGTAATTATTAGACGTTCTTTTAAATAAGAACCGCAGACCAGGATATGTGTGGAATCTTGAAGTCGCGTGGAATTGACCAACAGCTCAGCGTGTCGTGTGGCCTTGTGCCAAAAAGGGATGTGACCATGGAAGGGATTCTCAATGATTACAGCTGATATTTGGTGTGCAAACTCCACCGGCTCGTGAATTCACACAATCTTCAGTTTGAAGACATGTTGCAATTTGAATACTGAAGCAATTCACTTTATGGTGTTCTTTGCTTGGATGGGGTCAGAATGTCGTGTGACTCATCGCTCGCTTCTTGCAGAGTCGACTACTTCCTCCATGCACGATGGTGCCAGGACCGCCGCTACCGCTTAGCAAAGAAGCTTTCCGACGAGATGAAGGCGTTTTGACTGGGCAAAGATATCACGAGGATGTGCCAAAGGATGTGTAAAGGGTGGACAAAAAGGTGGTGTTTGCACTGAGAGGATTGCGGGAACATATGGAAACTCTGGAAATCCGAAACGCCTGCATAAACTATCCCTTCCAAACAGCTTTCCCACTGGAATGAATCACAAACACCCCACGTGAAAGCAGGGAACCCCAGCAACATCGTGGTGGATGGTCTCTCAGGGGACACTAGTGTTCGGATGTAGGGGACCTTGGATCTGCACTTCTCGAGCCTTGTGCTCAATGCCATGTCCGCGACACGAATGCAGGCTTGGCAGAAAGAGATGGTAGAAAGGGAGGAAACTCCAGCTCAGCGAATGGAGCGGATGTCTGCTGTGGGCTCAGTTGTTATCGTCTTCTACAGTCATGGTCGTTGGTAATTGTGATTTATAACCAACAGCCCTGAGCAGATTTACTTCCACATGTTTTGAATTGGGAACGGTGGATTGTAGAATATCTTTGAGACCAATGAACTGTGGAGATGGCTTGTGGCTTGTGGTGAACCCCAGTGGTTCAGCCTGCAGTCATTCCCCCAAACATACCACATGCACGGTCCCACAGGAGCTTGAAAACTAACGGTTGCAGGGCCGCGAAGGGTTTTTCATGGTTTTGGAGTCTTCAGCAGATGTGGAGATGCTGAACTTATCCTCGTCCTTTCTGAGGCCCGTGCCTATGAGCTGAAGAAGCGCCGTGAGGCATGCAGAAATGCTCGCCCAAAGCAAGAACTGCGTAGGAGGTCCAGCTATTGAGTGTAGCCGCAAGCACTCAACATAGTGAAAGCCGCAGGGTGTTTCTGTTCTCGAGTGAATATGTCGAGTCTTCGTGAATCGGATGCAGATCCGCCGTACTCGTGTCGCACCCGAGTGCAATTGGGGAGACCAATGTGAAGAAGACTGCATCGAGTAAAGGCCGTTCAAGGACCTGTAGGCTAATGTCAAGAAGTGAGGGCTTCCTGATGGCCCAGTTTGTTGCGCCACCACTTCTTGCCGCTGATCAGGATGAGCGGAAAGCCGTTGTCCAAGAAAAGCTCTATCAGCAGTGGAGAGCAGGCACAATGAGCAACATGACGTACGTACATCACACTGTGGTAGCTACAGCATGCTACATGCTATTTTGCTTGGCTATCGATACCTGATATAGCCAGTGTGAATCTCTCTTCAAGCAGGTGTGTTTGCATAATAGAGAACGGGGAGTCTCCGAAACAGGCCGAGCGAGGCGAAATCGAAATCGCCGGCCATGGACGAACCGTGCCAGGCATTGACGACCTACGCACCATGGACTCGAGGATCGTGGAGTTGCAGACCATCGCTGACAGGTCGGATGAAAAAAGAGACGGACGGACTCACACTCCCATGTTTTTCCGGAAATCCACACGGTGAGGCTTGATGGCGAAGACATGGTGAGGCTAATAGTGGTAATAATCGATACACCATATATCTAATATATACTTCATCCTACAGCTATTTAGGATGGGTGCGCGTTTGTTCACACGGGACGCACCATTGACCTGGTGCTCCGCGTGGCCGTAGGGGCCTCATGGGCCCAGGTTCCCTGCGCTGAGAGGATTTCTGCAGACACGGCTGTCCCATGTCCCCAGATTGGCATGGTTCATATGGTTAGGAGTTTGACAAACCCGCAAAACGATCCACGCGCTTGGAGGTCATTTTGGTGTTTGACTATTTAATGTGGTTGCTTTTTTAAACAAGGAATCACTGGATTGCCAGCTGACTGAGTGGATCTTTGGTCAGGGATTTCCAGCTGGACGACAAAGCGCTTCGCAAAGCAGAGGCGCGCTTCTGGGCGTCGCGTGGAGTGGGAGTTCTGAGAAAAATGCAGCGCTCGAACGATGCTATGGCATGACATGTTAGGCCTTGATAAGCTAGTTTATGGATGGCCAAGAGAATCCAAGGGGTGAAAACTCGGGGCCAGAGCCTCGGCACAGCGGACGAGTCAACGTATGTTAACGCCCTCACACAGCAGCACCCAGGGTGCTGAGTCAGACTTGCCAGGAGAAGGGAGTCGATGACTTCTATGCCAAGCTTTGGTTGCAAAGCTGAAAGACTTATGTCGATGGTGCATTCCTGGCCAGACATGTCCGTTTGAACTAAATAAGAACAATCCTGTTCTAACATTCTCTTCAGTATGCTTTCATGCGACCGACCATTGCCGTTGAACAACCCTTGTCCGGAGACCGGTTTCGGAGCATTTGAAGAACCCATAGGGGGTCCATCAGGTTGCGAAATGCCGCCGATTGTTGGATGGGGAATACCAGGTATTTCTCAACCACCTTTGAAAGCATTTGAACATTATATAAACAAAAGGAAACGCACATGTGTCAAGAGTTGTGAGAGCTGTAGAATGAACTTCAGATCCAAACCATGAGCACTTGAGGCATGAAGGCTACTTGGCCAAGATCGAGCGAGAAGAGCGGGAAAAGGCCATGAAGAATGAGCGCAACGATCAGTGCGGAGTCCAAAAGCGCCGGAGGAATTTTGGTGAGTCCAGCGAAGGGTAGTAACAAGAAGCTCCTAGGGGCTTCTGGCATCACTACTAGGAGCAAGGACGCTACTAGGGGCTCCTGGCCGTACTACTAGGAGCAAGAAGCTACTAGGAACGAATGGCGGGGAGTTTCTGCGTCCAAAATCGACCCACCGGGTGGACGGCGCAGGCGCAGCCGGCACGGCGCACGTGACGTAGATTGCTGGGCTGATGTTGCACACCGCCCAGGGATAGGAGTTTCGATGCTTCTTATGGATGAGGAGGTCTTTTGCTAACGATCTTCTTTCCGGAAGTTCTGTGTGAAGTGTGAAGTACTGGCATTCTATTTGGGGATGGCAAAACCCTTGGTGGCCTTCGTTATGTTGTTTTTTCTCATTCACCAATCCAAAGCCGACTCCGTGCAGCCCCGGGTAGGGGGGGCGGGGCAAGCCGGGACCCCTGGTCGTCCCGTGTCCCCGTGGCTGGCAGAGAAGAGGGGGGCCGGACAGGGGGAACCCCAAAATCTAAACTGGAATAACCATTTTTCCGACCACATCCGTCCTATGTGTTTTTTTGTGGAAAGAAACTTATGAGATATCATGAGATATCTACAGTAGATCATATCAGCGTGTATAAGAACTGATGCGATTCTGATGCACTCAGATTCCTTTGAGGCAGAAGAAGACTTTGGGCATTCAGCTGGACTGGAAGCAGGAAAGAGTACCTCTCTGAGCTTGCTGCTTGTGCGTGTGTGTTGCAGACAGCACTGAAAAGCGCAGCAACACGGACCACTTGACTTGACACCAGAATTAGACGATTGAATCACAGTCTTTCCATAGAAATATAATGAAAGAAATGCATTGTGGAACGAAGAGTGCAAATGTATACAGCAAGGCGACCCAAAGACAAAAATGTGTCACATGTGTAAGAATCCCTCCGTCCCTTTGACGAACAACGTATTTGAATTTATATATACTGTATAATATTGAATAATATAACGCACAGAGATATTGATATGATTTTGAACTAATTAGTGTCCTCATGACCTACTTTTGGGTTTCGCTGTGAGATCTATCACGTCCCCTAAGGGGTTGAGTTCCTTTTTCTGGGGGGGACCTGCAAGAGGTCCAATGTATTCCTCATAATACAACAAAAACATACAAAAACTACTTGCTCTGGGTTAAATGGTGCCCTTGACAAGTCTTTATATAGATCATTTGTGGAGACAGCACTTTGTACAGGAAAAGGGAAGACCCGTGGATTTTGTGTTTTCTTTCTTCAATTTTGGATACGAGTTTAAGGGGACTCAAATGTTCCAGGTGACTTTTCAGTTTCGAATCAGTTCATGCCTTTATCCCAGGATATATACCCTCTACATAGGGCTAATATTAGGAGATTCTTTCCTTTATTCCAAAGATTCTCCTCTTCCGAAAAAAAAGTCTGGCCTTTTAGTTGGAGGGAGGCGCAGTTGGATCGAGCCACTGTCCCACATGCTTCATGCAATCCATATCGATGTGTGGCTTCGGCTAAGTTGGATCAAGACAGAGAAGAAGAGGCCGTGGAGGCACAAGAGACAGTACAGCGCACGCAGCGCTACCGGAGAGTCTGGAAGGGTGGCAAAGCTGTTGTTGGCTTTCTTTGGTAGCTAGTCACAAAATCCAGATATTTTTGGAGGCATCAACGGTGGGCGTTTGACTTCAGCAGGACCTTGTGTGACACATTGTGAGACCACCCTGAAAGACCTGGTTCGATCATCAGATCCGCAAAGACGGTGGGCGTTGCTTGGACGTCGTTGCCGCATCCCTTGCAAAGGCTGAGCGGCTAAAGAAGATTTGGGCTGAGCAGGAAGAAGAGGCGGGTAACAGCGTTGGTGGTCTCCAGACTCCTCCGAGATTGTTCAATCATGTGATCTTTCGGCAGTCTGGGAGAATGTGTTGCTTTCTTCTCCCAAGAATTGGGCAAACTGGTCATACTCATCTTGAGTCCATTCTGCCCACGTTGGACCCCAGCCAAATCGTAGATCTTCAGGAGAAGAGGGCTGTAGTGGAAGCCCGAATCTATGCCAAAGAGGCGCCGCTGCACTCGCCGGCGAGAGTTCCCACAACACGCATAGGCTTTGCTGTGTTTCTGCAGCAGAACCCGTTCGCATGGCACGAAAACCAAGAATATATGAGGGATTGGTCAAAACCTGGAGCTGCAACACCATGTAGCTTGACCTTCTGGGTAGGTCAACAAAGGTATCCTGGCTTTGACCCACAGCCATAGAACAGTATGGTTGTTGTCCAGCTATGTCAATTTCGGTGTGAGGAAGCCTCCCTTTGGATTCATTCAAATACATGTCAAACATTGTACCACTGCATCCTCCTGTTTTGCTAATCCAACTTGCACTGATACTGCTCTCCCTTCGTGATGGACTGCACCGTAACACAACCTGTTTGTATGTTGCTTTAAATATTGATAATCCTTATGAGTTAGTGTGTCAAAGAATGATGGGAACCACCAACCAATCAGATGTTCATGTAAAGAACCATGATGAAACCTGCATTTACTTTCATGACAATTCATTTTGGGGCTTCAACAGCTGCACCAGCGTTTTCTGTGGAACGCCCCTCTCGCGTTTCCGCGGGACCCAGGAGCGGCGGAAAGCGGACGAGTACATGGCAATCCAACAAGCCCAGCGCGCAGAGGAAGAGCGCCAAGAGAAGGACTTCGACAAGTGCTTTGGCGAAGAACACGCCCCCGGCGAACGCCTGGCGAACCCCCCCGCGAACGCGCGGCGAACGCGCGGCGAACGCCCGGCGAACGCGCGGCGAACGCGAGATCGGATTGCCCGATGGGGGTGTCCAGTGAGGAATCTTTTGGGATGGATTTTCACAGTCTTGACGTGAGCAGTATCATCTTGGCCAAGGGTCCCTACACTCCCTGAAATCCGGTTTTCTTTCGGGGATGGCCTTCGAAGACTCACGGATCGAGTCAGTGGTTGTCTTCCGGTTGGACCAGTCCCAGGTGGTGAATGGTGTAAGTCCAAGACGACGATGTTTAAACTGCTTTGATTTGGTGACCCGAAAAAGGAAGTAAACCTACAAACCTATACAAACCAGTTTCTCTAAAACCAGTTTGATTTCAACCAGTCGATCCTCGTTCTGTTTCTTTTCTTGAACTGCCGAGAACGTGTCCTTCGTGGCCATCCCTTGCAGCGCATTTTCTTGGACCATACCCGACCTTCCAGGTGCCCCATCCCATCGCGAGTCCTGGTGGAACAGGACGTAGGAACCGCAGCAGACCTGTAAGGGTCTCCAGAAAAAGTGTGTTTGGGACTGGATGAGATAGTTCTTGCACTGCCTCCCCAAGGGTCGTCAATTCCATACCACCCATGAATTCAATCTAATCCAGGCCCACTGGATTGAGCATGCTTTGGCATCGTGCCTGACCGACCTGACGATGCCCAGGAACTTTGTGAATGGAGTGCTCGAGCGAGAGCGTTTGATCGCGGAGCAGGAGGAGGCGAATGGTCGACTTGGGTCGATGTGGTTGTGGGTATATCGGAGGTGTTTTTTTAATGTTACAGAGCGAGTCTTTTGGTCAAGCAGGTTAACAGTTGTTTTTACACGTGTTTGCTTCAGAACTGTGAGCTGAGTTAATCAGCTAATCATTTATACTGGCCAGATTGATGTGAACACCGTCAAGTTAGTCCATGGTTTTCAGAACTGCAAGACCTGCTCAGCTGTCGGAAGGCTGAGAAGCTGAAGGCCAAGAAGAAAGCCATGGAGTCGGGACTCGTAGATCTGTGATGGACCAGGATGAGGAATGAGATGAATGAGGGATGAGAGAAATGAGATGAATGGTGGATGATCAATGAGATGAATGAGATGAATGAGGATCTGTGATCAACCAGGAATGAATGAGCAGTTGGACTCATGTTGGATCACAGGTCGAGGGAATGGTCGATCCGATGTATACAGAGAGCTGGAAGACGGAAGACTCCGCTGTAGAGGTTGAGCCTGAGGAGAACAGGTCGAGCGAGTCGGCCGGTGATCACATGATTTATTGGCTTCTGTTTGACTATGATCATGAATTTGCTTGTAGTGATTGACCTTGCAAAGTCACAGTGACTGGCTTCCCCTATTGATCCTGTTCATGACCATCACCATAGGCACCTGAAAAGATGCAGACCTTCCTGCATCAGTGGAAATCTGAGCCCAGGTTCACTGAAGCCTTGAAGCTGGAGATGGCCAGAAAGGTGTGCCACGGGAGGGTTCACTGGAGCCAAGTGCGGATCTTCGAACTGAGGGATGCTTTGTTGTTCAGGTACCTAGAAGATTCATTATGCATGGGCCTGCCGTAAATCCAGTGATGGATGGGTGGGACGAAGATGGACCAAGTCGATACTCCTATCTTCCTGGAATTTGCAAGGGAAGACGAATCGACCTCACGTTGGGTGGTCGTTCGCGCTTTTGGTTTTGGTCAATGTGCTTTCGAGGCTGCCAGCGAAGAGGAGCTTCTTCGTTTGCAGGATGAAGAGCCTGGCACTCCAGATGAGGGATTGGGAATCACAACCCAACGAATCAGTCTTGACACGTGAATCACAGACCCCACGTTCCTATGTTCCAAGCAAGTAGAAGACTGTCAGTGGTTGCAATGTTCGTTTGATGGTTCGCTGGGGTAATAGGCCGGTGCAAGGCAGTGACTCGATTGGAGCAAAGCTTTGGTCGAAATAAGACGATATCCTTCTGAAATTTGTCTTGTTGCAAGAATACGTACTTTTTGAATCAGGTGAGGTGGATCTAGAAGACGGAAGCATTCAGCATCGTGCGAAGTCAAGAGATATCCTATGATATCTTGAAAGTCTTTAGAAGGGCAAGAGGAGTGGAAGGTTTTCCGTGCGTTACCGCACATGAGAGGCCAGGCCGCATGCTCGGGATGAGGTCAGAACGCCAGTGGCAAAAGCGCTATGCACAATGGGAGAAGGAAGAACTTGCTCGTGGGGAGCTTGGACAACATGGTGTGGATTTGCATGATTTGTTGCATACGTACCGATTTGTCCCTAGTTGGGAATGGTAAGTCCAGTCAAAAGCTGCTTTGCTGATCCCCATCCCTACTGTGATTCTCAACATGAATTGTCCCGAGAACCAGGGTTTAGTGTGGGTAGAATCCTCACCGCACGGATGTCTTCTATCAACATGTATTTGCTCTTCGCTACACTTCCAGGGTTTCACTTTGGCCCGTCATGTGGGACACCACAGCGCTTTCCATCAATAGTGTACACTGTGAGCTGTTCTTGGAAGATGCAGTCTCCCCAAGTCTAGAGTTCTTCAACTTATTGGCGCGGAGGCCGCGCTTTGATGGAGGAGGTATATCATGATCGAGCAGAACAAGTGAAGCACTGCTGGCACGTGCACATTTGGATTGTTTGATTAGAGGTACGTTTATTGCTCTAGGCAAATCCACAGCTTTGCAAAGATAAAGCCATTGGGCCACAGGGTCTAATTAGGTATCCGTTCAAGATGGCGAAGGTACATTTGGATCATGGATGAATCGACAAATCCTTTTGGAGAATCGACGAATCAAGTCATTCTCCAGTGAATCGAGTTGAGTAACTTGTCCTCAAGCACGTGCGCTACGAACGGAGTAAGGACGCTACTAGGGGCTCCTGGCATCGCTACGCGACGCTGAGAGTGTACCGTTTGGGCGGACCATCAGGACATCGGACGCATCGGTTTGAAGCAATTAGCGTTGATTGATTGCTCTCAGCTATTTGGCTGAGATGTTTGTAATCCAAGTGTGTTGAAGCTAAGACAAAACCCTTAGGACCTGGCCTCCCAAACCCCGACTCAGGACCTCTAGAGAGACCTCTAAGGCTCAGGACGGTGTCCAATCAGGGTTCCGTGTCGCCAGGTTGAAGCATCAGCTGCGTGAGCAGGTGAAATCAGATATCGCCAAGGAGTGCGAGACTCGAGAAGTGCGAGACCTTCCACAGGAATTTGGGGATCAGGGATGATGCAGCAATTACGTTTGCCAAGAAGGACTAGTTCGTGCTGCTCTTGGTCCTCACTAAACTGAGCTGTTCGTGGAAGACACATGAACTAAGCCACGAAATGAGCCAATATCTTGTACAAGCTACCCGCCTTCGTGCTGTCATCGGCAAATCCAAGGGAGGCCAGACAATGTTGGATGGCCAAACATGGTGAGGCACACTGCTTTAGGCATCATCCGGCATTGGATCTTCCAAAGGTCCAGCCTAGGGAAGTTTGAGTCGATTCCAACAACTCAGTTTTCATGACCTTCTTCCAACAGGGAACGACACTGGCGAGCCCCTGAGCAAATCTAGAAGACGCGTGTTTCTTCCAAGGCGTGGGCAGATCGAGCAGGAGATGAAGCGCCTGGAGGCCATCGAGCAACAACGTTGGAAGCTCAGTTTCCCTATGAAGCTCACAAAGGAGCTTCCCTTGGCATGAACAGGAACACCCAATAGATGGTTTGTTTAATCATGTTTAATCCCAAGATCCACCATGCATTTATGTGGCAAAAGAGAGGGTTTGGAAGCCATTATGTCTTCCAATGGTTATTCTTGGTAGTAGAACCCCCAGATCTCTACTGCCAGAAGAGATTTGGAACTGCCATGGATGGTTTCGAGTCACGCGTGAAGCTATGTGCAGTTCTCATCAGCGCCGTTGTGTGCAAGAGGAAAGGGCTTTGGTCAAAAGCCCGGTCTAAACCACTCTGTCTTCCACTCTTGGCTTTCACCCAGGTATTCTAGGAAGCCCTATCCCGTCCCTTTTTTCCAACCTCTCAGGGCTGGGGTACCAACCAGACCAGGGTCCATCCATCCATCCATCCATCCATCCATCCATCCATCGACCGAGGTGAAGAGGGCGAGAAGTTGGTGGCCATGCGACACCAAGAAGAGCTCTTCCGGCAGATGGACTTCCATCAGGTCGAGCCCCGACTCTTGCGAGTCAGATGTTCGTTCGCGGCCACAAAAGTCGGGTCCGCCCACGCGGTGTTCAATGTAATATAATGTACTGCACTTTTTCCAGCGGAGGAGATGAGGTAAGACGGACCAAGATGGATATCACTGGGTCGATCTAGAACAGTCAACGCAAAAGAATAACAGTCAATGGACATCTACGGACATTTTGGTATCTCTTGCTTCGTCATCACGTGGATGGTCATCCCCAAGCTGATCAACATGTCTTGTCAGACCCTGACACCGGTCAGGTGCAGCGCCATCGACAACTCCAGCAGCATGCCATCGAGCAGCGGCAGGCGTGATGAGACGACATAGCGGCGCAGAGATGGTCGCTGAGACAGAGAGACGAAATCACCGGATGGATGCGGATGAAATAGCTCAGCAAAGGGTCTAATTGCTAATGGTTTCATGCTCCACGACTTCTTATTTTTTTAAGGATGACACTAGACTACAAGTAGGAGACAAGAATATCATAGAATATCACCCTTACAGTGATTTGCCTGTACACATAAATACCGAAATACCTTACTTGCTTGCATGTTGTTTTGCTATGTTTTGCTGTTGTATGTTCGTCGGACCTCAAAACCGGAAGACGATTCGCCCGCAGGCAGCCATCGCAGAGGAGAAGATTCGCCGTGTAGGGGCACTGAGAGAAAGAGGTCTGACCAGATCCTGGAAACAGTCATAGACACATATGGTGTGTCGTGAAGTGTCTTAGATACCTTCCTCGTAGCAAAGAACTGGGGAGAGTTAAGAGTGATAGCCCATAGTTCGGATCCAACATGATGTTGGGGGTGTGCACTGAGTAAAGGTTTGTCGGACTACAGCAACTCTTTTCGAGGGGTTGCCAGTTCTCCCGAGATCCCGAGGCTGTGGAGCAGGAAAAGAAGAAGGCCAACGCTATCATGTCGGAGGTGCCCTAAACACATGCACACACCAATGACGGACAAAACGGGGAGTCGTGTGCAACGCGTGTGTGATGGCCGGAATCTATGGGAATCTTGGTGAAGGTTCGTGAACCAAAGGTGCTGAGGAACTGCCATACGAGGCTGGTCCTGGTGAGTCCTTGGTGATATGTTTCAATTCAATTGTCCAATCCAATCAATTATGTGTTTAAATCAAAAAGTCCACATCGTATGAAAAAGCTGGAGTAATTAGACTGGGGGCTTTATAGATGGCATTCTGGCATGCACCACCAAGCGCTTTGCAATGTTGGGTTTGTATCAAAAGCCCTTAAACTGCCGCAGTTCTAGACTCTGTGTTGTAGCAAGTTGAACGCTACTTGATGATATATCCCGGATGGGATCCAGTCGTACCGAACCTCAGAAGAAGGTGATGTGTTTGACACTATGTTGGTGGTTTGGAGGGTATCAAGACTCCCATCGACGGCCGCGTGCGGCGGTCGAAGCGGTGGCAAGTCTTCGGTTCAGGTCCTGGAGAAGCGTGCGGCGGCGGCTGCGGCCAAATTGGTCACTGCTCCTTGGGACAGGCGGAGAGTCACGAGCACAAAGCATAGGGACATTGAATAATGAGAACTGAAAGGGAACAGCTAAACTAGCACCTGGAATGAATAAGGACATGTTTCTCATGTGAGAAAAATATCGCTATTCACGTCATTGCGCACGTTTTCTGAAAGGTTGTTAGTCTGTGCTTGAGCAGACCTGTTGGAGGGTGTTGGTAATGAACTTGTAGGTGGATGTCCCATTATATCCCCATTGTAAAAGTGCACCAAAGGGGTAGTTTCTAAGGGCTTTCAAGAGGAATTATGTATTGTTGTTGTTCACACGAATTATTGCTTTTGTGAATTTACCTTGCAAGCAGACCAGCAACATTGTTTTTACAAATACAACTATATAAATCAATCAGGGGTTCGTTACACACAGCTCGAGAACAATTAGGACAACTTAATACTCAGGTGAACTTACAAAGAACTTGCGAAATATACCTCGAAATTCATGCGGCTAAGTCATGAGGATGTGCCCTACGTCCAGAAAGTTGTATGTCGAGGTTTAAAAAACACATAGTGACGTTGCTATGACATGTTCTGTTTCATTAGCTCTAATCTTCCAGGAAGAGGACCCCACAAAAAAGAGAGAAACCAATGATGACCAGGTCGGAATGGCCTATGTCATAAGTGCTTGCCACTGAAATTGTAGGTTTTACACTTCTGCATAACTTAGACCTTTCCTTAGGAAAGTTGCATGCCATTTCAACGCACTTGGCCTAATTCATTTGATCTCAGTATATATATATATACATTATATACAAGGCTATCATTGACATGGAATAGAGCACACAAATAGTCACAAATACAAGTGCACCGTTTCCCTTTTTGGTTTCGCCATGTTTCGCCTGTCCGAAAGACAATCCTGCTCTGCACAGCGTTGCAATCATACAACAGCAAGCTTCCTGTTGCCTGTGTAATATGATTACACCTACTTTTTCTCTGTATTTACGTACCTTTACTCGCCCCTTAATGTGGAAGTAAGTTCCAAGCATCAGCAGATGATCATATCGCAGATTAGGGAAAGAGAAGTACTGTAATACAAACCAACCAATTGAATGTCTCTCAGCGGCCCAATATTGAAATTGGTGGCATGTTCACGCAAACAAGGTCGCCACCAAAGCTTAAACGCTTGTTCAGACCGGGGATTCACTTGAGACACGGAACTTTGAAGGGGCTCTCCTCCGACCTGAAGATTCACCGGTATAAATAGGGACTCCTTCGGGATCCAAACTTCTCCACAAGGGTAGTGCTGAATGGAACATCCATGCTACTAGTAGCTAGAAGCTACTGGAGGCCATTCCTATTAGGTTTCTTTTGCTGCTAGTAACAAGAAGCTACTAGTAGCTAGAAGCCCCCACCCAGTTGACCAGCGGACCAGGTGAAGGATCGGGCCGGTGACAGCGCCAGTTAGGCGAGACGTTCGTCCCACCGGTCGGAGACGTTTTCACCGCTCGGATGACCTGAGAGCCTTCAGAACATGGTGAGAGTGGGACCAGGGCGGTTTTGTGAATCGGTTTGGCGCCAGGGCGGTTCTTGGATGCTTTGAGGAAACAATTCCAAGGCCAAGCAAACTCTTGCAGATGACCGATCCTTCTAATGGAATCCTTTGTTTTCTTTCCTTTGTTATAAGTATGTGCCTACTTAATTCAGTAAGGGAGTAAGCTCAGGAAGCCTAGATCGCTTCTAGTAGCTGGACGCAGAGCGATCGCTCACGCTTCGAGCGAAGAGAGAGCGCCGACGCGCTCGCACAAATGATTTGCTTTGTGGATCTTTGGCTCGATTCATTGGTCAATAGGTGAGTCCTCCAAAGAATACGCAGCTCTCCAAAGATTTTCGTGGATCTGTGCACAAATGGTCGCATGGGAGGAGGAGGCCAGATAATAAAGTTATATAAATCGCAAGTTGGATTTCGTTCTCGATCTTGACTCCCCAAGTGATTTTAAGGCCTTATTGTTTGAGGATTTGAGATGGGGATGATGGGGGTTGTGTGGGGTTGTGGGTGAACAGTGCTTGTGGGGAGCGAGAAGGATTAAGGTTGGGCATCACCACGCTCAAACAGTTCACAGAGAGCAACACTTCCCTGGAACCAAAGGAGGACAAAAGTACAGCACTTCCCCGCAAATCGTGGAAAGGGAAGCAGAACTGACCTATAGCCATAGGAGAAAGGTTCATAATCCACTTGTTTTGCCACTAGTTTAACAAGGTTTCGGTTGGATCCGTCAGGTCAATTAGCTTTGTGAAGCTTCAGATCAGATCCGTCAGGTCTGGTGTCTTTGGGTTCCTTGGATCCACGTCTCACTGTGAAGGTTGGGCGTTTCACGCAGAGAGATCTCCCAACCGGTCGAAACATCCACACCGCGAGACATCCACGACCCCGAAACATCCACGGCCAATGGGATTGGAAGAACTCTCTATTTCTGTTGACAAAAGTGCAGCAGACCTCCTCTCGAGGGCTGAAGACCGCTCATCCTTGGTTTTTGGAGCATCCGACCGTTCATATTTGACAAGCTATTCATGCGGTGATATATTCAGGCAATTGCCCTGATCCAACCTGATGTTGTTCAAGTTTGCCCTCGCACGTTGGTGCTGGAATGTTTCATATCACTGCGAATGCAAAAAAAAATATTATTCTAAACGATATTGATATTTCTGTTGTTATTTGATTTCGCATCAATGAATTACTAAAAACACATATCCCGGCAAGAGACCCCAAACAGTGTGTGTGAGGTCTGTAAGCAGAAAGTCTAGAGATCTAGATGCATTGGGGTCCAGAGAGGTGATGGTGGTGATGAAGTGAAGGTGGGTGTGAGTGAGTGTGAGTGAGAGGGAGCGTGAGTGAGAGTGAGTGTGGGTGAGAGTGAGTGTGGGTAAGAGTGAGAGTGAGTGTGAGTGTAAGTGAGCGTGAGTGAGAGTGAAGGTGGGTGTTAGTGAGTGTGGGTGAGAGTGAGTGTGAGTGAGAGTGCGAAATTGAGTGAGCGGGTGGGTGAGTGAAAGGGAGTGTGAGTGCGAGTGTGAGTGAGAATGACTTTGAGTGGGAGTGAGTGTGGATGAGAATGAGTGTGAGTGAGAGTGAGTGAGTGTGAGTGCGAGTGTAAGTGAGAGTGGGAGTGTGAGGGAGTATGAGTGTGAGTGAAAGTGGGAGAATGAGCATGGGAGAGTGAAAGAGTGAGCATCTGAGAGCATAATGTATTGAATCGCTACGAAATCTGCACCTCGAGATTCTTATTAAGTGCAATTACGAAATCTGCAATTCGAGATTTATTAAATGCTGCATTTGCCACGAAATTTACGCATCGAGGGTTATAGAATGTGGTTCTTGCTGCGAAATTTGCATTTCGAGGTTCACCAAATTCTTTATCTGCCACGAAATTTGCATGTCGAGGTTTATAAATTTGTTGCGCTTATTACAAAATCTGTGCGTCGAGGGTCTAGAGTGTTGTGGCAGTGTAATATATCTAAAAATCACGATTTCTGCATTTATCACGAAATTTGAGCTCTTCAACGATTACCACTATATCTAAAGTGTTGTGCTTCCCACGAAAATTGCATTTCTAAATAAAAGAATTCCGATCTCTTGCATTTATTACGAAAAATCGATTTTGAAATACTAGGTTTCCCTTGCCATGAAAAGTAACCATCATGTGCGAAAATGCACGCGGCACCCTAACGAGAGCGCAATCGTTAGAAGCACCCGCCACGGGCCCTTAGATTCTGCGAGCCTGCGTAGCCGAGATCGAGAGGCATGAATGCATTGTAAATAGTAGTGAATTAGCCGTTCACGGCCGCGCGCTTTAGCGATCTAAGCATTAATTGTTTCTCTCCTACCGTAAGAACCCCTTAGTGTGCCCACATTATTTGGGGAAATATGTATAATAATATGTTGTGGCATATTTTAAGAATGATAATAATTGAAAAATGTATATAATATTTTTTTTTGATAGAATTAATATTTTTATTGTATGAATATTGATATTTTATTGAATATTATGAATGAATGTATTTTGAATTATAAAATATATATTTTTGAATTAATCTATATATATATATTATTGATATTTTATTTATATTATATAATCGATTATATATAATCATTATTAATAAATATATTTATAGAATAAATTTGGAATTATTATATATTTATTGATATAATTACGATATATTAATTAATTAAATATTAATTTATCGTATTATAAAGGGTAAATATTTGATGATTGGTTAGGGGTTTTAAATAGGAAATATTGTGTTTTTGTTGTTGTGGATTTTATTTTTTCGATGATTGGTGATTTTTGACTAGTTTGTTTTGTTTTTGGATTGTTTTGGTGCTTTCTTGAGGCTAAATTAGATTTAGGTTATATTATTTAGGTCCTATATTAGATTATGTTCGATTTATTTGGGCCTAGGTTGGTTTGTCTTTGGAATATTTTGGATTTATATTGAATTGGCCTTGGGCTTAGGTTGGTCTATCTTGGGAATAGAATGATTTATTGAATCCGTATTGGGCACGTAAAATCTAGGGGCGTGGGTGAATCGGCGGCAGGGACGGAATGCCTTAATCGGGGCGTCGGCTCTAGGGACAGTTCGTGTGTTGCGCGGAGGGCTTTCGATTGTAATCGAAATAGATTGATCGTCCTGCCGCGGAGCCGCCGTCGGTTCACCTCCTACTCGCTTCAGGTCGTGTATTTTACAATGATTGATGTAGTTTAAAAACATATTGTGTTTTATATGGATTTACATGGAAAATGCGACGCGGCGAAGATAATGTGTTTGATGTCGGTAATGCGCGTCGCGCCGACAGGCATAATCGGCATTTTGTGGGCGTTCGGCCCATGTCAACATATATGACGGAAAATATGGCCCACGATAATCTAACAGAGGCGCGCAAGATGACCCAACATAGATCCCAGATATTCCTAACATAGCTCCAAGATGGGCCGACATAGCCTCAAGATGCGCCAATATAGGCCCCAGACGGCATCAACCAGAAAAGAAAGATCATGGATTGGACATGTCCGAAAATTATGTGTTTTGCGGTGTTTTCGGGGTTGCGGAAAGACATATGGGGAATAGATATGTCCGAGAACCGTATATTTTATAGAATTTTCCGGATTGCAGACAAAAACGTCTAAATAGAATATGTGTGAAAATCATCTGTTTTACGGTGTCTGCGGGGTTGCGATTGGATTGAATGTGTGCGAGAGCCATGTGTTTTATGGTGTTTTCGGGATTGCAGCGAGAAGCGTCCGGACTAGACATATCGGAGAATTAACCTCTGTAGGACAGTCCGCCTCATGCTGTCGGGATCTCACACCCCCGGTTGTCAGGCACAAGCCTTTAAATTATGGAAAGGGGAGAATCCTTCCGGAGGCCAGTGCCGGGCCCCTGGTTGGATTTTTTGATATATATTCTCGATATGCTAACCGATGCCGACCGATATTTATTTTTAAAAAAATATATATTAATTTATGAAAGAATAACTATTTTATAATATTCTATTATTGTATTTAATTCATGCATATATTATTGGTGATCTTATCCCCCTTTAGAATTCTTGATTTAAATAATGTTAAAGGATATGCGTATTTTGATTATTAAATATCATTTTATATTTATATGGACGGATTTAATCTTTTGAGATAAAAATAGATATTTAATTCGATATATTTAGGATACATAAATATATTAATTAGAAATATATTTTAAGAATCTAAAATCAATCAATCTATTTCTTATTATTTATCAATAGAATGAATATAATTATATCTAGGCATAATGTTATTAATAAATTTCAAATAATCATGATAATGATAAATATATTCATTATGGCAAAAATAGAAAAATATACGTATCATGGATGCGTCGACCTTATGCGGTTAATCGCGGGATTTCTGTAGGAAGAAATATGCGAGATAATATAGGAGGGATATGAAATCAACAATCATAGCTTAACAGATATACGAGATCGCGATGAAGAAATCATAGAGATCAGGCAATGAAAAAAATACTTAAAGACGGGCATGGTCGAAATAACACTATAAATATAGATATTAAAGGAAATTAAGAAAATATCGAATATATATGTAATTAATACCGAAATTTTGATTATCTTGCAAATTCCGATAAAATCATTGCGATCTTGAGGAGCCCGTATAGGCAATTCCTCATCTTTATCAAATATATAGGACCTATTTGAGGTCTTACGGATCTGTTCGGAGGCAAATTTTCTTCCTTGGCGGTCTACCAAATAATCGATTCCCAAGATTCCGTAGGCCGCCGACACTTACTATTATAGAGATCCTCGTTCTTGATCCGGCGGATTTTCTTACATCTTCCAAGATTCAATTGATATAGGTTGACCTATTCAGATTCATAATTCATATATTGGAAAATCAATTAATCCAAAATATGAATTAGAATAGAAAAATCGATTGAAACAAATTATGCACCTGCAAAGCTAAAGGAGATTGCGCACGACGATTATATCAAATTCCGGAATAATTTCCTATCAAATATATTCAATTAATCCTTCTGACTTATAATGCATAGGTATCTTTGGGAAAAAAACGATTGCAAAAATATCGAGGTGGCTAATCGCCGACCACACGAATATCCCAAAAAACCTTCCCGGCCCGAGGAAACCCCGGGAAAATATCGATATAAATATACGTCCAACCAATCGGCCCTTAGATCAAAACAATGCGATGGGCCGATTCCAATTCCATGATTCCCCGAGATTGAGCGGAAAATAGACCTCCGACAGAATCTGACAGCGTACAAGGAAGATTCCCAACAACAAAAATTGGGATATTATGAATTCATTCTCGGAAAGACCTGGTCTGCAAATCGAAAAAAAAGGGATATCGTCCGGATACCAATGATATAATTATCATTGAAATATTCCGAAAAGAAATTATATATTTTCTTATGGTGTGGGGCTTCTACATTGGGTCTATCCCTATGCGGGAGCCTATGCCTAGATTCCCCTTTCAAGCAAATATTTGCGCGAGAGGTTCTCCTCATTAGGGGTCTATATGGGATGCCTATGCAGGATATTCTCATCAATTCTATTTATATCAGATAATTCGAAAAGAATTAATATTCCGCAAGTAATGGCCCGATGCGATCGGATCATATCAGATTCCTATTTATAAAACCAAATAAATTTTGTATCAAGCCAAGAAGCAATAATAGCACACAAACAAGACGCAACAAGCAACAGAACATAAGAGGCGGCAACAACAACAGAAGCAACAATAATAGCAAACAAGCAACAACCAAGCAATAACAACAACCAATAGCTTCTTGCCTACGCGATGCTTCCGCGGCGGGACCTATTCAAAAATAGATTTACTATTGTTTTTCAAAAGACGATTGTACTTATATAATATAAGCTCTCGGGCAGTGCAGAATTCAATCTACTCCATCGATTATGGTATCAATAGGACATATATATGGGGATCAATCGCTGGGATATCAAATTAAATATATATATATAGTTAAATTTTTGATCTCAAAACAAACCCTTTTTAAATCTATTCCTAAACCGTCATTTTGTATGTCATGAAGCTACGTTTGCAAAGGTAATATCCTGCATAGGCCAATGATTCATTCGGATAACGCGCGGTGATGCGAATAGATTGCGGCACGTGGCTCTACGGAGAGATTGCATTACGACGATATTCATTTATTGACAGGAAATTAATAGGGGATAATAAATGTTTGCACAAACACAATACGTAATTGTTCGCATACGTGCCAATTGCGATCCTGCCAATTACGGTCCCAGAGCTAAATGTATTAAATCAAGATTACAGCCCTATATGCGTTGCGGCTTCGGCGCGGCTAGCATTGCGAAATATAGGTATCGCAAAGACAAGACATAATGCGACTCCAACAATATGACGTTATCATAATAAGGTAATAAACCAAAATGAATAATATTTTGCAAAGAAGCAATATTAAATCGATATAATCTAAAAATATAATCCTATTATATATATATATATTAGGTATCGAAACCGATATTCATAATTATATTTTGTAAATTCATTACAAACATCACATTATAAAAAAGCAATATTATATATATAAAACAATTTCATAATCCGGATTATATCGTTTTAATTATTAATATACATATTCATCTTATATATATTAATAGATCGAATATATCAATAATAATATTGCAAAGAAAATATTCAAAATAAATAATATAAAAATACATTAAAAAATGAACAAACACATAAATAAAAGGTATTATTTTACATATCTTTAGTTCCGAATAATTTTTCAAATTAAGCTCTTTATTTGCCAAAAATAAATATATTAAAATATTAAATTAATATATTCCAATAGGGTAAAAATAATTCCAATAATTCAAATTCGAATTTCCGATATTTATTTTATCATCAAATCTATCATTTATTCCAATATATATTTTGATATATATTATTAATATCTAATTTGGTATTCTAGATGGATATATAATTCCCCAATAGCCATGTTATGGTGTCCCGGTCATGTTTTGATGGTGTCCCGGTCATGTTGTGATGGTGTCCCGGTCATGTTTTGATGGTGTCCCGGTCGTGTTGTGACGGTGTCCCGGTCATGTTTTGATGGTGTCCCGATCATGTGATGGTGGCGCGGTCATGTTGTGATGGTGTCCCGATCACGTTTTAATTATGTCCCAGTCATGTTGTGATGGTGTCCCGGTCCTGTTTTGATGGTGTCCCGGTCATGTTTTGATGGTGTCCCGGTCATGTTGTGATGGTGTCCTGGTCATGTTTTGATGGTGTCCCGGTCATGTTTTGATGGTGTCCCGGTCGTGTTGTGACAGTGTCCCGGTCATGTTTTGATGGTGTCCCGGTCCTGTTGTGATGGTGTCCTGGTCATGTTTTGGCGGTGTGCCGGTAATGTTTTGATGGTGTCCGGACGGTGTCCCAGTCATGTTGTGATGGTGTCCTGGTCATCTTGTGATGGTTTTCCCGTCATGTCATGTTGGTGTCCCGGTCACCTTGTGATGGTGTCCCGGTCATGTTGTGATTGTGTCCCAGTCATGTTGTGACGGTGTCCCAGTCATGTTGTGATGGTGTCTCGCTCATGTCATGCTGGTGTCCCGGTCACCTTGTGATGGTGTCCCGGTCATGTTGTGATGGTGTCCTGGTGATGTTTTGGCGGTGTCTCGGTCATGTTTAAGTTTTGATGGTGCCCTGGTCATTTTGTGATGGTGTCCCGGTTATGTGATGATGGTGTCCAAGGAAGAGATGGTCGATGTGTTGAAAACAGCAGCTGTTTCCAGATTTTTCTTTTTGTCCCGGTTTGTATCTTGCTATTGGGGTCTCCAGCTGGGCTAATTCCTATATTCTGATTGATATATTTGATATCCTTTTTTGCATCCAACCTGGCACCTTTCCAGCATCCTATGTGGTGTGCATGGTGTACCTCTTGACATCCTTTCTGCCATGTCTTGTGGCACTCCAGCTGGCAGATCTTCTGGCATCTTTTCTTGCATTCTATCTTATCTTATCTGGCAGATCTTGTGGCGTTCCAGCTGGCATACCTTCTGACTTCCTCTCTGGCATTCTATCTGGCATATCTTCTAGCATTTTCTGTTGCTAATCTTTTGATATCTTTTCTGACATATCTTCTGACATGTCTTCTGGCATTCTACCTGAATAGCTTCTGACACTCTTTCTAGTACTATCTTCTGGCATGTATTCTGACATTCTGTATGTCTTTTGCGAGACCTGGAGCTTCCATAGTGTGCAGGTTGCAGGTCGGCGTGCCCAGCTTCAGTTGGCACTCGCTGTGACATGAGAATGAGGGATGAGGATGAGGCGGAGTAGGAGTGCACCTTTAATTTAAAAAATCAACTTAAGACCCTCACCTGGCAGGTGGGGAAGTATATTGATTCATAGGTATCCCCCCACAAAATGTCTTGTTGTTTAATATATGTTTAATATGTTAAAATTTGTTTTGTTCAGGATTCAGGGCGTTTGATTCAATGGTCTGGGACAGATACGATACATGCGGGAGTGTAATTGAATTGCTTATATAGGTGGGGTCCAGCGAAAACAGCCCGCCCATCAAAGGCACAATCATACAAAGGACTTGTCGAAGAACGCACCTTGAGGTTCCTATAATAGGAGCCAAATACATAGGCAGCTTGGTCCCATACACTGCCTTTGCCTCGGAAGTCCCAAACAACAGTAGACATCTTTGCATGTGTCATCTGATCATAGAAACGGATGAAATATCAACAAAAACAAAACTATGATTTGTTCTTCCTTCCCCCCAATCTCTATAGTCTTTTGATGTGTTTTGTCTTTCTTTTCAAGTCATCCGTTCGTCGGTCTTCTCTGCAGGCAAGTGACATTCGGCTGGGATTTGGCCACAGTCGAAGATGCCCTTGCCTTGGGCGAAAGCCGAACTTAAGGACCCTTGAACAGATTCTCTGACACATCCTCCCTCACTGTCACAGAACAAAGATGCGTAAAGAGTCCCAGGTCCCTATCCTTTAGTGAAAGGGATTCCCCCATTGGGCCAAAGAAAACACCATCCCAAACCTATCGCCAGGTGGCTACATACCAAGCCAATGGCGGCTCCCACATCTCGTGCTTTAGCCTCACGATCCGGGACACAGGCGGCAGTCTCCCAGGAGCCCCAAGGCGGATGCGCCGCCAGGGTGTCTTGGAGCATCTTGAAGGATCCCTCCAAGGCCTGGGCAGCGACAAGTCCATTTTTTGCGTTCAGATGAGCGGTGGTCTATCGACGTCTATTCTCTGGCTTACGCCACATGGCCTTATGTCGCAGCCTTAACACAAAATGTAAAGGGAGGTTTTGAACGCTGCTCAAATGCTTTCAGGCTTCAGCGGCTTATACAAGCTAACAGCTTCGGCAATCGCCAGTCGACGGATAAAACGGAAAGTATCCATTGAGATGCTACCCTGTTGTTGTTTCTTGTTAGAGTCCTCGATACATGTAACAATTTTATGGGAGATATTTATTTAGGTTCCCTTGGAAACCGGTGCATGATGATCTTTAGTGGGCCTGTTGCCGACATAGTAGGGTCAAAGTGAAGCTAGATTTCGCAAACTTCACCAACTGTTACAGGCAAGAGTTGATGGGAAAGGGCAAATCCCACATCCACGGCTGCTGCCAAGCCACCAGTGTCTCAGTCACAAAGGATTCAGGGACATTGGTTTCCAACTTGCCACCTCACATTGTCAGGAACCAAACACAGCAATTGGTACCTGCGTGGATGGGAATCCCCAACTGTGTGAGTTGCCGCAAAGAGTCGTAGTCAGCTGAAAGTAGGGGATCCACGCAGTCAGCTTCTGCCTATTTTTCTGGCACCAACCCAGTTATGCTCCCCACCCAAGTGAACCAATCCAAATCCCGTTCCAGTACGGCATCCAACAAACAGCCTCGTCCCATCCCAGCTGTGCGGAACTCTGAAAAAGAGATCCTGTTTTGTTTTGTGACTCACGGTCTGACCGCGTCCGTGAGTACGGAACATGACCGTTCCGGGGATGGTGTGTTTCCTGTTCGTGTGTGTAGACGGACGTATGTGAACCGATGCCCACCTGTATGTTCAAGTGCTCGTGTGATGAAGACCTTCATGGCCACGGGATCTCGATTGCTCCAGACCAGATGAAAGCCATGCTGGCTGATATGGACTTTATTGGGATCGGTCCAGCCCAATGGCACAATGCAATCCTTCTTCACAGGCATCTTCTTCCAAATGCTGGAGCGCACAAACTGCGCGGCCCCGTCCAGGTAGCAATGCTGTAGTGGCTTAGGGGTGAAGTCCTGCCACAAGCAGGAACGAATCCACCAATGTCTCTCTCTAGCTCCCAACAATTGAAGAGATCCAAAAATGCATGCAAACCGCTAGCCCTCGGGGTGCGCTTGGGCCGAAAACTCACCTCAATTAAGTGACCAGAATCCGGTTTGTCTCTTTCTTTTGCACCTTTTCCCGGAAAAAACAATATCTGTCTTTATCAACCAACCAACAGGCTCAACGTCATCGCCGCGCGCTTGCTCGCGCGCCGCTCGCGAGCCGCTCGCGCGCAAGACCACGCCTGCGAATAGACCACCTCACGGAAATGAGTCCCAAAGACCCAGGAAGCGGTGTCCCACAGGTCTTCACAGGACTCGGGCACTTTGGAACAATCCACATATCCTGATGCCAGTGTGGCATGAAGGACAGGACGGAGGATGGAGGATGTCGAGCGAGTTCGCACAGCGGACGAGGTCTGTATAGGCTAACAGAAGACATTTAAGGAAGCTGCAATCAAAAAGGACATGATAGGGGAAGAAAAACCATATAACATACCATGTGTTGTTTTTATAGGAATTATATAGGCGGGGACTAAAATCGAACACATATTCTCTAATTTCGGGGATTCCCTCATACTTCGGGAAAAGGAACAATCGCCAAAACCAGGTCTCCCAGGCCACAAATGTAGGCCAACTTCCCTGCCACCGTGGAGTTGGTTGCCTCCACATCCACCATACATGAGGCGAAGACATCCCAACGAGCCCACTCAGGATGAGACACCAGCATGGCTTCTAAGTCTCGGTAACGAGCAAAGGGGTTCATGAACATCTCTGCAATCTCTGCCGGGACCACGTAGGGAACAAAGCCTCCGAGTTTGGTGACCACGCGTTTGATGAAGATTTGCATGGCCGTGACGTTCTTGAGGCCCACCATCTGCAGAAAGCCATGTTTGCTAACCAAGACCTTGTCAGGATCTGGTAGACATAGCTTGCTCATGTTGACTCCAGGACCTTTATAGGCCTTCGTCAACTCTTCGATGATTGTGGTGTCGTGGTCAAACACGGGGCTCAAACAGGGCACGTGCAGCTCGGAAGTCTCTTTGAACTTCACCACCTGAATATGCACGGAAGATATGGATTCCAAAACAAATCAGCCGGGATTGTATGATTTTGCATCACTGGTGCGTAGGGCGTAGGGAACATGGGACAACTAGACTTTTTTCTCAAGGGGTGTGCTCTGTTCACCCGCTTCGGGCCTTTCTAACACCTCGAGATTGGGTCTCCAAGTGGGTCATACCCAAAAGGAAAAGGGATGAAACGAGTCGTCGTGAGATCTGGACCATAAACCTCGCCTGCGAACGTGCGCTGTCGTGCTCGTCGTGGCCCTGGGGGTCAAACATGCCCCAGATCAAATGACCCGCCTCAGGGCGCGCGGAGGGCGCCGCTTTTCGCGTGTTTCGCGCGGAGGGCGTGTGGCGCACAAAGCTGAGGGCCTGATTTGAAGGATTCGTCACTGGATTCATGTACAGCTTGATCGATTTACAGCACCGCGAAAAGGAGGTTCTTCAATGTTGTGGTGACAATCCCGTATAAGAACGCATGGTGCACCGGCCAAGATCGAAGCGGCTACCTAGAGCGCAAACATGAGTCATCATGAGATCCACGTCCGGCCTGGTCGTAACGATTTTGGAATTCAAAGAAGCTGATGCCCAACAAAAGCGAGGAGTGTCTGGCAACTCGCAGGATCTGCTTCAGGTCCTCTGCCGTACTGAGGCTCTAGAACGGTCGAAGCATGTGGAAGCAACATATTCATTCCAACTACAGTGTTGATTCCAACATATTCATTAAACCGCTTGTTCTTACTTGGCCTGTTCTTCTATCACCAACAAAACTGCAAACAAAACACTTGCAAACAAAACTGCAGCTCCTTCTTCAAATGTGGATTGCCTGGGTTGTGATACTCTGCCACAAAGATCGGAGTACTTGGGAAGGCGACCTCATAGTGATCCAAGAAGAGGCTCTGGATCTCGTCGGAAGGGTTTCCGGAGTTAAAGCTGAAGGTGAAACGAGTCTCGAAAAACGCGGTCAAATTCCTCTTTGGCTCCACGCCATACTTCTCAGGATTCAACAATGCATCCTTCAAAGTCCAAAGTTGTCCCAGCCCGGGCCGGTCCCGGAAGTTGTCGCACTGGTTACAAAAGGCAAAGGAGAAGGTCACGGTGAGATTGGGCTTGGGACCCTCGACACCAAGCTCCTCTTTGCGAAAACAGACACGGAAAAGGCACCTCCTAAGATCCTGGTATCATATCCTTTTGGTACTTCAAATCATGCGCAGCCATTTTCAGTTTTGAGTGCCTCAAGACACAGCAACCTTCCACATAACCTTTGAAGATCTCAGGGGATATCCGTCGGGCTGGTTCTAGATTTTAAACAAACGAAACAGACCCTCGAAGTAGCCCTGCTACGCAGGTTCCTACCGATGTGCCTTGTGGTTGAGTCCAACAAAAAGGAATTAATACTTTACACCTGCTTGTACTGCTTTTGCTCTTTTTGCTTTATAAATAGATTTATATATGTAATATAGTTGTATATATATATAATACTTTAAATGTAAATAACTTCCCCAAACCACAAAATGTATTGGACATTGTTCTCTGAGGCCTTGGCAAACAAATGAACTAACAATCAAACAAATGACCTGTCTGCAAGACCGAAACTCACATCCGGACTTGAGAAAGCTCTTCCAACTGGCCAAATCGGATTCTGCCGGAGTGAGGCCAAAACGGGCGGGTTCCGTCCCGCTGCACACGCCGCGTCGCCCCGCTCCTCCTCCGCATCTAAGACCCCATCGATCGCGCTGACAATGGCCTTCGCGAACTTCTTCGGTTCGCCCAGGCTCGGCAGTTTCAACTCGGGTTCATTGACCACGATGAAGTACTTGATGGATGGATGATAGGCCTTTCCTCATGTTGACACATCGTTCGGGGGGTCCGAGAGCAAAAATGGCTTGGAAGAAGAACGACCCACCACACTCACTTCCAAAGTTCATGAGACGTTCAAAAACATGGTAGCATCGAGTCCCCGAATCAAGTCACACCTCAATTGCCAATAAAAATAGATGGATGACCGCTGTCCTCTCCAACACGGCGCTTTTTCAGGTTCCATGCGTTCTATACAGACCTCTGCCAGGGTGTTTCATCAATCTTTTGGCAAAGTCACCCACGAGGAAGCCCTTCTGAAGATTCTGTAGGTAGGCCTCCTTGGCTCCTGGACTTTGCATTTGCTCATGGTGTGCTTTCCTGCCAATAACCACCCAACTAGCAGTTCGCAACTCCTTGGAACATGTCGTCACAGAATCAATATCCATCGCATTAACACGTTGTGTCCGTCTTCCCTTTAGAATTTGGTTTGGAATTGTCTCGTTGACGCAGGCTTGGAGTAAGAAGAACTGCTATGCACAGCCAGGTCCTTGGAAGCAAGAGAAGTTTCCAATGCCTTTGCATTGCTGGAATGCTCGATCCCCCATCCTCAGAACAAATGCGATTGGAACCAACACCGATGGAATGCACTGCGGTGCTGCAAAGCAAAAGCTGCCGTGATGAACGACATGAAATTGCATGTCTCTCTTCCTCATCCAATGACATTCAAAGAACGATAACTATAAGTGCTAATTATATCCGTTCAATTACAACGATCGAACACCTTGTTTCATTTTTTTCTCATCACTGCCATGCATCCCTGGTATCACCTCCAGGTTCAGGGATTGCGCATGATCCAAGAACTTCTGATGTTCCAAGGTGGGGTCATTCCCGTAGAGTCGCACCACGTTGGCGCCTAAGCTGGCGATGATCTCCAAATCCCCACGGCCGCCCCAGATCGGCTCGGCCGCGTCGCAAAAGTAGTCCTGATGATGGGCCTCGCCTCGGGTAAAGCGTCCGAGCGCTTGTGCTGTGCTGAAGGCGCTTTTGTCCTCTAGGAAAGCCGTGCTCAGCATCTCAGCGGATTAAGGGGAAAAAAGGATTGATAATGATTGATCGGTTATAGGAAGTCTTTTAAACATCTATATAGCCCAAACATGGTTTTTTTGATGTGTGTGCGTGTTTTGTTTTTGCTCTTTTTATAAAGAGTGATCGTTGCATCCTGTTTTTGAGGAGTCCTCATGCCGTGGAGGAGGGTGGCTTTTCGCGGAACCAACACACTCAACAGTTCCTCATCTCGAATGACCGGAACCAATCCCACGAGTTCTGCGACTGAATGGACCTTAAAATGACTTGAAGAAGGACCAAAGGTCTCCAATGATATCAAAGCCTTTGGCACCTGACAACATACTCTACGGCCCTATGCGTAAGACGTAATTGCGAACACAAGTCAAACCACAGCACCTTCAACATGGCTAATCATTATGTACTGGACCCAACATCCATGCGAGAGGGCCACCGGAACACTGGGTGTGTATGCGTGGAGAACAGTCAGAACAAAAAGCATCGAACCGAAAGCAGGGAAAACATGCCTTGGGTGACTTCCTGCATCTCTGCTATCTCATGTATAGGATTCCGACGATGTTTCATATGATTCATAATACAAGTGGGTATGGCGGATAGAACGCGACTATAGTGGAAGAAATCCTTACACATGACACATGACCCCCCAAATTCTGGACACTTAGTTCAAGGCGTTCACGTTTTGCTATGCGTTGTCCCAAACAGCAGCAAAGCTCCAAGAAGAGTTCGACCAAGTCGCTGGGAGAAGTGCTCATGGAGGGTCCATAACTCACGCCCTTCATCAGCTCAGGCTTTCGCGTCTCGCCCGTTCGCGTCTCGGTGTCACTCGTGAGATCTCCTCCGTTCTCACCATCGATCGTGTCATCCTTCGCCAAGATGAAACGACCCTTCGATTGGAGCAAATGAAGGCCCTTCTCCTCAGTGTCTTGCGGCTTGATCGATCGGTCGAATGAAGGCCCTTCTGATCCTGTCTCCCCAAGCGTTCCCTGCCAAATCCCAAGCAGATCCTGGATCTGGAATCCCATGTTAAATTGTTTGTGCCTTAGGGGATGTCTAAGGCGACCCAACCAGGGCATCGTTCAAACGCCAGGGCACAGGGCAGTCCTCGGTCAAGGCTGAAACGCGAACGGTGAGGACTGTGATCAAAACCGCCTTGGCCCAAGTGCCCATCCGTCGAAACGTCTGTTCAAGTCTACACCATGGAGTAAAACATATTGCTTCGGACCGAAGCTGCGGCGATCCATTGAAGTGTGAAGGACCGATCCATGGCGCCTTCAAAAGGACGCTCCATGATGTCCCACTGTGGTACGGCACGATGGCATTCAACATGTCCGACAAGTTCCCAAACTGTCCCATCATCCATCCTTTGCGTGCAGCTGCAGTGTCTCCCTTTTTCCCATCCGGTGCTGGCAACGCACGGTTTTTGGGAACAAACGCCCAGCACTACACAGATTTTCGGGCACATTGCAAGCCCGCCATTGACCTGCACCACGATGTGCCCGGCCATAGGCTGACAAAAGCACAGAACAGCCAAGAGGAAGGCACATGTTTCACAGAATCATCACACTTTTCTGGAGCAACAGTACCTAGGAATGATGAATCATACATTGGAGACCATGAGCTTTGGTTTTCGGGTGAGATGCCATGCTTGGCATGAAGCGATTGAGACCCTCGATGTTTTTTCGGTCGAGGTCTTGAAGGTCGAATTTCAGTCACGGAGGTCGATCTCGGTCAGCTCGTGTCCTCTGCCTTTGGCCTCGCATCGGTCGTTGGATCAGGATCGGAGGGGCTATAGTATTGGGAGACCACGGGTGGAGCACCGTTTGTGTGAAAGAAAGTGAAGCCACGATAACATCGTTATATCAACATGTTAAACATGTGTATTTTTTGTGCTTCATGAAGGCGAGAACTGAATGAGACTGAGTCGTGAGAACAGCGAAAGACGCTAGAAAAACGCTCGCAATGAGACGTTTCCGAAGCTCAGCAGGTGGCGGGTGGACGCTGGTCGAGTTACCATCTTGGGATCTCTTGGAAACTGTTAACCCATTGGACCCTATTGGGGTTGGTCCGCGACCCAAACTACCGGACGTGGTCTAGGAACCCCCGTCGTTTTTAAGGGAGTCTCTCCCAGATCCAGCACGCTTCGCACTAGAAAGCGCCCCAAGGACGCTCCAGGTAGCTAGGAACAAGAAGCTATTAGCTTATTGTTTCTAATAGCTTCTTGTTACTACTAGTAAGGCACCTGTTACTACTAGCGTGGCACCTTGTTACTAAGTTCGCTTCTTTGTTACGGGACGAAGGAATTCTCGTCCTTTTCCGCTTCATCCCGCTTCATCCGTTCGCCCACAAACCGCCTTCTCCCCAGCTTCGTGTCGGAACGTGGCAACGTGGACACCCGACCGTCTCGACGGATCAGGCACACCGCTACCCTCGAAGGAATGAATGTCTTCGCTGAAACTGTGGAGTACCATATGTAGAATCCATATATACCTAGCACTTCCAACGGGTGCCCAATGGAGACCTGTAAGTAGGGTGGGGTAGTCTATTGGACACCAATTGGATGACCCTGGTAAATAACTATATATATATATCACTATATTATATCCATATCATATCCATCGGCTAGGATGAATCATGACGAATCCATTCAAAAATTCTTCAACTATATAGATGATCAGATAGCTCTCTTCGGACTTCAATCTCATCGATCCCCATTCTCCTGCACCGACGCCCGGCTCGGCACCTTCGAGCAGACAAGGTCGTCGACAAGGCACTCGGCCGAGCGCAGTGCCTGGCGGCCAACCGGGTCTGACCTTGCCGCCAGCTCTGAAAATTGGTAGGAATAGACTCAAACACAGCCAGGTATAGCGTTTTTTGCTTTAATCTTTTAGTTTTTCTGACCTGATATGCTTTTTGAAATCCGTAAGCTTACTAGATGAATAGATTCCATGATTGATGGATGACATTTGGATTGAAAAAGGAAGATACTGGTTGGAGTTCCTGTCCTCTTGGTGAGTAGTTGTGGACAAAAATCAGTGCCTTGAAGCTGGTGTCCTGTGAAAATGGGTCCTTCTCAAGGAGAGGCCGTTATAGTCATAGTCATAGTGATTATTCCACTCTACAAACGGCTATGGAAGGCCAAGAAGAGACCGATAAATTTTTGCTGATCTCAGCTCTCTTCTACAGTGGAACTTTCTATGTTTGAATGAGCGTGATACGATTTGATTGTAGGCTCAAGATTTGCACCCCCCACGAAGGAATCCTGTAAAACCTGGGCATTTCCCCTTATTCAGCTGCTGAACCACTAGGAGCAAGGACGCTACTAGGGGCTCCTGGCATCGCTACTCACGGCCACCCATTCGGAACAGCTTCGCCCGTCGCACCTCTCCGACTCCACCGTGTCCGATCCTCGGTGACCGCGGGGTGCGGTAAGGGCCGCGGGCGGCGGTGGACGGCGCTTGGTGAAACACAGAAACTCATCCGATTCAAGTGATCATTGAACTCATATTGAATTCATATTGCTTTCTAGTTATAGAACATGAGGTATGCCGATGGAACAGAACCACATCTCACAACTGTTGTACAATTGCCGACTGATAGAGATATATCACATGTGGATACATGCGTCTGATCTCTCTTGGAAACGAGACGCTGATCTCTTCAGATTTCCCACTCAATGCCCAACGTGCAGCAGCCAAGATGATCTGGACGGGTGTCTTCGGAGCACAAGCACTATTGGGGACTTGCCCTTTCTGCAATAACTACACTAATTACTGTAAAATACATGGCCTTAGAGTCAATCACACGAACAAATCAAGTTTGAACTTCATTTGACAACCACTAAGTCAGTACTATGCCAGGATCACACGACATCTTCCTCTGCCGTCTCATACGACGTCCGCTGTGGCTTTTGGACAAGAAAACACCGCGGGAGGTGCCTGCACGGCGTCTGGCACGGTATGGAAGATGAGCAAATACACCCAAACCTCGTCCCAGAAGCGGTTTTTGCCAAGAAACACGTCGGTGGTTTGGGTCGACGTCTATCTAGACAGAGTCGAGTCTAGACCGATCCTGATGGGAAATTGGAGGTTCTATATCTTGCAAAGGCTTTAAGATATTGCACAAATTTAACGATTAAATCACGATGAAGAAGCAGAATCCTTGTTCCGCCACCAGCTTTTGCAAACATCCATCCGTCATTCACCAGTAGTCTTAGTCAAACAAATCTCGTTCTAACTCCGGAGCCACCCGTTTTCGGTTCAAACTGCTGCAGCTGAGGTTGCAGCTGCTGCAGCAATACACACAAAAAGGTGTCTGGCGTTGGATTCGCAACTGGATAGTAACTCGAAAGTGGATTCGAACGTGGGACGGGTCATCCGCCACTTTGGGCAAATGACTGCGCAATACACTTGCTATCAAGATTATCAAGGAACTCACTCTACTTCCTTTGGCTCGCCACAACAATCAAAACAACAACGCATTGGTTTGGAGGGCCACTCTTGGTCGGACACCAAACATGCCGGCAAAACGTGTTGGACGACAAATGTCGATGCTTTTGAAGTGCATATGGAAAGACCATCGCAGAACCTTTTTTGGAGCAGAGCAACGCGGCAACACACACGACAAAACGCTTTAAGAGTTGAAGCCTCCATTGCTGGAAATGGGTGTGCGGATTGATTTATTAGGAAGAACACGACGCTGTGAGGGAAAAATAAAGTGCACGCGATTGAGACTCTGTTGGTTGGGAGACAAATACTGCTCCATTCAAGGCTCAGCTAGCTCGCCCGGCAGGATGTTCACAGGTCGCTGGCGGGAGCTACTCACACGTTTTAGTTAGTATCAGTGATGTTGTCAGGCATGAACAACCACATCATGCCTGCCATTGCAAGGAAGCTAGCGCATCTGGTCCACACTTGCCAAGCCTCGCAGAAAAAATGGTGCTGTTGAAAGTGCGCGCTCTGCACGTCGTCTTTGACACCTTAAACCTGACATCAACCTTGTTCCATAGTGTTTGCCAATGTTGTCATATATGTCGTTTGAGGTATAATAGAGGTTCACTTGGGGGTATCCCCTCTATTCAACCAACCACTTATATGGTGTTCGTATGGAAACTTGGCCCAGCCCAGTTGCTCTTACGTCCCTTCCACCAACAGTGAAACAAACATCATCACCCCATCACTGCGAGTGAGAAAAGCGTGCACAGGGTGCCCGTTGCATGGGCTGGTTTCAGTGCCTGCAGGTCAGAATCACGCTCCATTTGGGCTGTCTTGACCTGGCAGCTTGTGAGATCGGTTCCGGATGGTTCAGGAGGGCATGGACCCACTTCATCTACAGAATTCAAAACATACCCTAAGGGATCTTCCAAAGTGAGCCGCGGTCGTATGCGGTCGTAGTCATTAGTTACTAAGTGTTACTACTCAATGACCTACAAGATGACACAGCAGTCGTAGTCCGGATGACACAGCGAACCACGGGCAACTAACCAGTGCCACGCTCATCCCAATTTATGAGATGACAGCTGAGAGCCTGCTTCTCTACTGGAGGAGATGGCATGCTGCGCACTGCATCCCTCAGAAACGACCAAACTGAATTGGACAAGACCTGCAAGGAAAGGCGTAAGTCCTCCCAAAAGCTTGGATCTATGATGATCTATCCAAATATTCAACTGTGGAACCAATGAACACATACGCACAAATGCCCTTTCAGTATTCTTCTTTGGTCATACACTGTCCTCGCACAATGATTCCAACACAAAAACATCATCCATTGCTGTGGCCGCGGCGACTTGTCGCTGATAGACACGCAAATATGAGATTCAGGACCTTGGATCTGTCCCGATCGAAGTCGCGTCAGAAAACCCGTGAAGCATCCGAATATAGAACCTCTTCGTGCTGGCTCAGCTGCCACAAATACGGATCCCTAGCTGGAATAATTACAAAAAAATCCAAGTACTAAGTCTTACTAAGTATATGCTGCTTAAGTGTTGCAACCTCAACTGCAAACTAGCCAACCAAATCCTAAGATCTTTGTTCGATTCACTTTAATGATGTTTCCATGAATCACTTTCCATCAGGCTGCTATCTAGCATACTCCAGCCAATGCTGGCTAGCCTGCTGACAGAAAGAAAGAAATGGTATATAACTGGCCTGCAGTCGTAGATGTCCCCTACAAACCAACAGAATTCCTTCCGCAAAGGCATCACTTCTCAAAAACAAATATTGAGATCCACGGGAAGTTCTTGAGACAAGAGTTAAACTAAGGACGGCAAGTCTTTGGAACGACTAAAGATTTTGTTCGCGTGAGAAAACTGATCGTTCTTCTACGGCCAAAACTGCTCATCCATCAAACCGTCCGCTCCCCAAAGCCCCCGGGCCGAGGTTGCACTTGTCAAGAGAGGAGGTGTCCTGTGAGTGAAAACGGCCAGCATGGCCAGCATCTGTCCATTGCATTCATAGTTGCTGTATATATAATATATATATGTATATATGTTTTTTTGGAACAAACACAGGGAACCGTCCGTCAATGCAGGACTTGATCTGATTCCGCACCGTCCTTTTCGTCTCCCCGACCGGTGGCGAGACGATCGGGCGAGTGCGGTCGGTCCTCAAGGATTCGACCGCTGGCGATGAAACGGACAGATCTCTGCGCCTGGCCGGTCGAGCGCGTGGCAAGGGTTAGCAGGGGTCGAGAGCAGCGGGTGAGAGCAGTGAGAAGTAGAGACAGCACTGCACCCAGTCTTTGATGTGAATTAACTATTATATGATGAGAACATGTGTAGATCAGTATTTTCAATGATGAGACCTGAGTTCTATATCATCAGTACTCAAAGAAAAACATGAGAAGAAGCAGGCGGAACCAGAAACGGCCCTTCTTTCCGTGATGTCTTGCGGTCTCTCAGGAAAGGTGGGTACCGAAATCGGTACCTCAGAAAGGCACCTGAAGCCATTTGTGACACACCAGTAGTACAGGAGATGTATGACAATGTGTGGAGACTCCTTACCTTTTGTTTCCTGAATCCCATCGCGTTGTCAAGAAGGAAAAACAACCGTCACCCGTCCATAGCGCCAACTCCCTCAGCCATGAGATCAATGATGATTTAAAGCACCCAATGTGGAAGTGAAACCCACAGGTTCAAAGCGCTTTTTCACTTGGCTGGCTCGAAAGACAAACCATGCTTCTTGGTCTTTGAGACGTGCTTTTTCTTCTGTGTTCTAAGCTCTGCTCGGCAATGTCTAGTAACGCCCGTATTACAAAAGCATGATCCAACTGAATTTACATTTGACATCATTTGACAGTTTATTATTCATGATGTCAATCAATCACATCATTATAGCGGTCGATGACGCTGCCCCGTGTTCACCGCACGAACACTGCACCAGGTCTCTCCACGTCCACCTCCAGGGCGTCGGCGAAGAGCTGCCGCTTCAGCGCTCCCACCGTCGCGGAGGCGGGATCCTCCACCTGAAAACTCTGACCTCGGTGGCTCCGGTTGGCAGGTACTTCTTGCACCAAAGAAAGACACCCTACTAGCGATGGCCTCCAACCTAGAAAGAAAGGGAGCCGAGCCAATGCAATCCTACATCTCATGAAAAGGAGTCAGTCAGACCTGCGCAAAAACGGTCATGTGTGGGAAACGAGGCTCCTTGAAGCGTGTCCATGCTGTTTTTGTGTTCCTGTCTTGCTGAGCGGTGGTTCTGACACTACTCTGCAGTCCATGACCTCTTGTGCAAACAGGTTTTCCTGGCTATTGTAGAATCATAGACTACGTTTTCCTCCCCACAAGCATCTTTGGCACATCCTTTTCATCTACGTAGCACACCACAGGACTCTATCCCTCTTCTGGATCTCAATCTGCATGTTGAGCTATGACTTCTACAGTAGCTGAGCCTCAAGCGACCTTGAGATGGCGTACCAGCCTCACGGCGCATCCAGAATCACGTGCGCATCATGATGCATGCTGCATGGGATAATCGGCGTTGAACCACTGTGGCGAACACAGGCGTGTATCCATTGCGGATCATGCATGAAATTAGGAACAAACTACAAACTCTGCATGGTTGGGAGTGTAATCACTCTATGTCTCCCGAGGACATCTCCGGCCTGGAAAATATTGAAGTGCAATGTGATCGGATCCATATTCAGCCTTGGCTTCCTGAGCTGGGTGTTTGGCCGCGTGCGTTTGACAGTCAGAGTGGGGCTTCACAAACACGTTGTACATCATAGCCGTAGAACAATACGTACTCTGTGGCTCTGTGGGGGAAAATCAATGCCTCTTTCCCAAAAACGTCCAAGGTATGCCTTGAGAGCTCTAGACTCTACAGACTGATCAAATGTTGTCAACCCACAACTGAAGTCGTGACATCGTGGATTGATTGCGCCCTGCTTGATTCCCTCTCTGTTCACAGATCAGTGTCAGTGCAGGTCAATCCATGACGAGTCCATCTTCTGTCTTCCCATTTCGCCACCCACGACAAGAAACACCGTCCGAGTGCGAGGATGTTTCAAATCCAAGGCTCCTAGTCAACCGGGCTTTCCTTTTCTTGCCCAGCCCTAGGAGAGCAATTGCTCTTGAGCCTACCTAACAGCGAGATACGAACACCAGTCCTCTCCCAGTCCACATCCAATTGCAGTGTCTAACGACCGGTCCAGAAAGGTCTGGTCGAACCTTTCACAGGGTCGACTCATGCGATCTGCAGCGACTCGCGCCGTGCCATCCAGAGGCGATGTTTGCTCGTACCGCTGCGTGAGAGGAGGGTCTCAATGCTTGCGAGATTCACAAGCTGGCTGCAGCTTTGTCAGCCCGGAGCGATTTCCGCCCCGAAAAACATATATACAAATGAAGTATGGTCAACATGGTCAAACCGGTACTGGTAGAGACTTCAAGAGGTCTTTCACGGAACTGATTGTGAATGACCAACTTTGACCAGGCCTCATGTCTGTGAGTGGTCCGTGGGTGGTCCGCTTCAGTGTTTCACCACGGACCGTCTGGTGGATCGAACGAACGAAGGTGTCGAACTCATGTCGGATGCGCCGTGGCCTGAGTGCCGTTGGGCGCGGCCCTTGGGCGGGGCCGAAAAGGGGCAGGCATAGCATGTGCACCAGTGACCCGAAGTGAAGACGATTCCCTTCAACTTACACATCACCAAAAGTCATGATCTCATGCTGAGACATGCTGGGACTATAGGCATTGTCCCAAATCATAGATCTTGAAGCAGCTGCATGGACATCCTCAATTGGAAACTTCAATTTTCCCGAGGATGAACCACGGCTACCCTCCAGCATTAGCTGCAAGCTTGCGTGGGGGAACACCGGAACACCGCTACCTCCAAACACGAGCAGCCGGTGACCAGTTCACCACTAGTGCGGAGTGTCGCTTGGTCCAGCGGAGGTGTCGCCCTTTGTCGACCACACGGCACATGAAAACCATTGAACCACCGCACCACCTTTCTGACCACTCAGCGCGTTGAGCGCGGTAAGAACACCGCCCACCGCTAGCACTCAACTGAGCTGCTCGAAGGTTGGATAAGAGATCGTCATGCTCAGATCTCACCCGGGAACCATTCAGGAGGATCACCAAGACCTGGTTGCGGTGTACGTCGGGTCGGCGTGCAGCTGCGCAAAACTCACAGAACATCTCAACACATCTGGAATCTGGGCCTGTTCCCTTCCAAAAACTGGCCTGCGATATGGATTTTGTCCTATTTTGCTGATACAGTGACCTGCGCACAGTAATGCTATGGATACTACAATTATTACAGCACTCAATGCTCCTCTCCTCGCACATGGCTCTTCACCCGTGACTGGCCCTCCACCCGAGGCCACCCCGCCGTTCCGAAACTGCTCCAGCTCGTCTCTTCTCGAGACCAAGCTCGCAGCCTGCGGTCTGGAGACTGGACTTGGTCGCCGACTCTCGGGGACCTTGGGACCTGGATCAACATGACGTCACATCCAACGCCGGATGATCAGCTCAAGAAGAAGAAGAAGAAGCTTAAAAAGGTACACCTGGCAAAGGCCAAAATACTTAACTGCCAGCTCTGTTAGTCCAGCTCTTCTGTAGACTATCACGTTCGAACGATTCAGTTGTTAAGCTTTTGACAGAGCTTTGGGGAAGCCGTAGTCTTGGGGGTTGAAAGGGTGTGTAAAGAGATTCGGGAATGGCAGCCTACTGCTCGATAATGAAAATTGAGGCTGGCAGCATGGAAAGGGATGAACAGGAAGGCCTTGACATGCTGTGAGCCTTTTTAGCACAGCACACCTAGCTTCAGCTGCATTCCAGCCGAATGCCAATGATCGAGGCATATCGAGCCCCTAATCAAACGCGTGGAGCGTCCAGATTTGAACCTCCTTCGCCCCCTGCTGCACACACCTAGCAGCTAGCATTCCCCCCACACTCCCTCAGTCTTCAGTCTGCATGGAACAGCGATGCGTGAAAGAACGAGTCACACGGCCCTGCTCACTCGTTTGCGCTTGGGCGTCGAGCAGCAAGTGCAGTGGCACAACTTCAAGGCGTTATGAGCCTTCTTGAACTGTGCCTTCAAAGTGACCACATGGGTGCGCAGCTGCCTCAGCTCCTGCGTCTGCTGGGCAAGCAACTTCTCTTTCTTGCGCTCCTTCTTCTCTTTTTCTAGGCATCGAGGGCAGGTGTCGTAGTTGCCTTCGATGAAGTCGCAGTTCATGTCACTGTCTTCGTCACTGTCACGATCCCCTTCCCATGCGTACTCATCTGCATCATACGCCTCAAACTTGTCCTTGCATGACAAGCACGTGTGGCACCCCATGATACAAACTGTGCTTTCTAGCTTTGCAACTAGCTCGGGCCGACGCTTCCCACGTACACACGCACACAAAGCTCTGACTCTAACCGTTCTCAAGGGGATTCTAGCCGTTTCGGCCATGATGTCAGGAATTTCAACGTGGGCCATGCGGAACGTTATCAGTTTTATTGTGTAGTCGGAATATCTTCACCGCCGGCCTCATTCTTTGGGAACTTGATAAACTAATTGAGTGGTAAATGTCAGGCAGGAAAACATATCTTGCGAAACCATTCCATTGTCTGATCGAACATTACCTCTTTCAACAGAGCTGCAAGCTGCGCCGCACGTCATCGCCCGCCTCAGGGCAACGGCATCACCCAGCTGCAAGCCTGTCAGGTAGACCTGGTGAAGTCAATTGGTGTGAGAAGAGCTTCGCTGTGAGAAGCGTCGGTTCTTGTTACAAGTTACAAACAACAATCTGTCCAAGGTCAGGAGGCTTTGATGGAATCACATTCTAGTCCAACCAGCATTGGAGCTTGGAGTTACCAACAAAAATTCAGCTAAGTTGGATCATCCTAGGTCAGCAAACAGCAAGCTGATTGCTGACCTAAGTGGTTGGTCTTCGTGCCAAGCCACGCGTGCTGGCGCCAAAGCGCTACCCACATGGGCTGGACATCGTTGCACCTCGCTCGTCGGGACAGTCGACAGTCGTGCAGTTCCACGATCCAGTCGTTCTGCTGGTGCCGTTATCTGATGTGATCTGGATCTCATTGATCAACTGTACTTGAGGGACCCCTCTAAAATGAAGAAAGCCGGGAACGCACAATCATGCTCTAATTGGTTTGTTGTGTGGTGCTGCGACTAAACAGAAACGTTCCACAAGAAGCTTGACAATCGAACTCCCCATGTGTCCTAGACTGCAAAACATCGAGTGGAGGAGAAAGTCGACCACAACCAGGGGTCAACGATCTCTAGCTCTGCTTCATGGGCAACTTCCTCACGCCTCTTGAAATGCAAACACGACCTCCCAAACCTGGGTCAGACCAAGTGGTGTGACCTCGATGCACTCGCCACCCTCGTCAGCCTTACCCTCCCAACATGGTTACGTGGAACATGGCCCTGAAAGGATACTATTTTCTTAGACTAACTTTAACAGAGTTTTCCCACTTCCATATTGTTTCAGGGACAGTATCTTATCATGTGTTATCATCTGTCTATGGCATCAACCTTCTTAAGTGCCCTGTTCGCTTTGCGCAAATCCCAACGTGTTCATGATCTGTATGCGAGGCTTCTGCGTTGAACACCCACATCCTGGCATGAGCATAGGGACACTTCCAAGGCACGCATTTCTCTGCTCCGGTGAACAGCGTGGGAGGCCCAAAGGCATAAAGCACCTTTGGACATTGGCAACATGAAGTGCGGCTAAGAGAGGAACTTTCTCAGTGGAATCTAAAACGCTTTGTTCCGTATTGCATGAAGCTTTTAATCCTGTTGCGCTCATGCATCTTTATCTTAGCAAGTCTTCTTAAGCTGCGTGCTACTATGCTCGTGCCTACATAAATATATCATGGCAAATCATGGAAGATCCTGTGATTATGCTTTGCATTCTATGCAAAGGTATTCCAAACACGAGTAATTAACTATAGATTCTTAACGCCAACTTCACAGCCTTGCTTGATCCCTCCTCCTCCTTCTTTCATCTCCTTTCCCCCAGTCGCAGTTCTGCGCCTTTCCCACACCAGCAGTTTTGAAGCTGTGCCACTGCGGAATGAGTGCCTTGGATTCGCGGAGTCCCACGGGTCGGAGATTGCGGCGTGGTGGTTTTTGAGCGCCGAGCGACCTGGGTAGTTATCATGATTGTGGGGTTCCAAGTGGAGGTCTAAATCAACAGGAGGAGTCCCAGCAAAATGAGTTCTAATAAGCTATAGAGAGGTTGATGATGGGCAATGTTTGTGTTGGTCGACTTGCTGGTTTTGATCCCACGCTCACTGGGAAGCTGCATAACCAAAAGGAACACTGTGCTCGATGCTGGAGCCTAGGCCTTGGGTGAACACATCACAGGCAAGATTGCACCAATTCTCCAGGAGGACGTCCAAGAGACAAACTTCTCTTGGAGGCTTTGTCTCTTATTTTTGTTGTGCTCTATGACCCTCTATTCTCTTCGAAGCTGAAAGCATTCGAATTATTTGATTGTCCAATTCGGGCGCTTCCACTCACAGGTGAAACTCAAACATATCAATTGTTGATGTGCTTCTTCGTTCTCTACACGTAACCCACAATAAAATGGGATTTCTAAGGAGGGATAAGGAGGGTTCAACTAGGATAAGAGGATACCGCTGGACACGTGGATTTATACCCAAACAGGTTTCGATCATAGCAGAAATACTGGAAGAGCGCGACATACCGCGCGTTTTTTTTATAGCTCCGGCGCCGTAGCTACTCAATCAATCCCAGGCTGGTGCAAATCATCCAATTCAACAACTTCTCCTGGCCGACCGCTCAGTCTGTGCGCATCAATTGAGTGTCTGGTGGCCAGTGGTTGTCGATCTGCTTGGCCCAAGTCCATACACTGGAGCTCAAGACCTGTCAGGACCATGTCGCTTGGTGTCAGGCGCTCCCCGTTGAGATCTCGCGACGAGTCAAGGAGACAAACGTGCGTAAGCCTGCTGAGGTAAGGAGACTTGTGTAAACCTGTGCTGGGTTGGATCGAATTCATCCATTTTGGACCGCCAGGAAGTTGAACTCCCGCAGCGGCATGAAACTGATCGAAGACGCCACCGTTTCGGTCATTATGAATAAATTTACATACCTTTTAGCTTCAGTCCAGTCCGGTCACGTTTTGTGGTTCCTGGCATCCCCCCTTCGCTGCCTTTTGGGTGTCGGTGTTTTGGGCCCAAGCAGTACCGACGCCGCTGTTCGGCCCAAGTCACGGCTGACTGCATGATGTCGCATGGGGTCGCATGCTCCCCAACCTCATCGTTTGGGCAAAGAAGAAACACATCATACACCTTCCAACAGGTCTCCGACATGGTAGCTGAAATGGAGACTTAAAAGTGGCAGGTGGTGACCTGGCAGTGAAGGTGCTGGTATATCATCTTGCTGTGATATTTATATGCGATCTAGTCCTATTCTAAGGTGTCTGTTCAACCAAAACGTTCAAGTCAATCCTCTGTGAGCTCTCCCCCCCAAAGATTCTCTTTACTTCTGAATCGAAACAAGATGAAACAAGCAGTTCCTTGCTGATTCACCTGTGGAAACTGAGGAGGACACCTAGGTTGAGTGCAGGTGCCCCGTCAAGTCCTTCGATACACGAGGAGATACCTAGGGACGGCGCAGGGTTTGTGCACGTGGCGGTGTCGACAGCGGGACGGCAGGATTGGAGGAAGGCTGCTTGGGCAACTTGGATCTAAACCTAAACCAAGTTGTCTGGAGTGAAGGCATGACGGCATGACGTGCATTCATTAGATTTCATGTTGTATATAATTACACATGACAGCAACCCTGAAATGGCCGAAGTGCAGCGATACACCCGTGACTCGTCTAATGTATATGCTTACATATATACATGTTTCGATGCCACACCAAGTCGAAACAATGAAAATTCAGAAGTCATCACTCCCCAGCTGGAAATTTTGGATGTCCTTTTCCAAACGCTTTCATTTGGTATTTTTATTTCAACGAACTCTTGATAAACCTTCCTTTCAGCCGACCGTCCTCCGCTTCCCACGACGTTCCCACGCCGGCGCACAAAGGTCCGGCCATTCGTGTCCGCCGTTCGGAGATCTTCGGGCCTTCCGACCGCCGGTGGATGGTCCGTTCGAGACATGGTCGTTGGTAGCGAGACATGACATCTGAGGGAAACAGTCCCCTGATGGTAGCGAAAATCGATGTTTGCTGGTTGATGTTTGATGTTTGATGTTCAGTCTTCTTTTTGTGATTCGTCTCTTTTTCATGTTCTTGTTCAAGGAAACACAAAGCTTCGGCGCCCGAGGTTCTGCTTCCGGCTCTCGTCATCAAACCGACGAGATGCGTGGAAAACGACGTCCCCCCGTTCGACGTCGTGGCCTGTCCCCAGTGGGTTAAGAGTAGATGGCACAATCCCCAAGAAACGGTGGTTTATATATATGGACCCCTATATAAAAGACATCTTGCGGTTTGTGCCATCTACTCTCAATCCACTGTACATGTCTTTACCAAGTCTGCGCTGATGGAGCAAGTGCTTCAATCGTTCGAGTCTTTAAGCTATAGAGAAACAGTTCAAAGAAACCTTCAGAAACAGCTGTACTGTACATGACATGAATTTTGTTATAAAGCCATTTTTCTATGTCCAGTTTGCACCTGCCTAGTTCATTCGCTCCAATCACTCCAAATAACACCTGTCACTATGCTTGAAGGCGCCTCAAGGCCATGCCGGGGGGCTGGAGCCTTTCTCGGCTCGAAGCGCTCCTGGTCCCGTTTAGATGAGGGGACAATATATGTAGCTTGTACCCTCCAACAAACATGGAAGTGGACAACCAACTACTTGTGGCCCAAAGCCATTGAACCCGCGACCACGAGAGTTGCAGTTGGAGGGCTGGTAAACCATCTTTCTTCATCACAGTCGCAAGTTCTCCATAGCCCTGCCAGGAAAATTTCAACATCTAAGATAATAGAACACATCTCCTGGAAGGAGGTCATACCCAGCGTTGCAGCTTTTTTTAGTTTTGACAAACACCAGTGAAAGAAAACATAGGACTCCTTGCTCGCGTACCCTTGTCCCTTCCTGATTTTTCAGTTTCGAAGCTGTCCATTAGGCAATGCTCACTGCGGATTGTGTCAACCATTCACACAATACAATGTGTGTGTGTGTGTTGCCTGCTGGACAAGGCCCAACATGCAACAGCGACACCTAGTGGAGAGACTTGAACAACAAACGAAACGTGTTGGCAAACAGGTTCTGAGTGTTGATTCATGATTTTATAAACAAGAAAAGGATGGACATGTTGGTGTCTCCCCTGCACTTGATGAAAAACGATCACATGAATAAACTCCATGTCACAGCCATGTTACAGCCATGGATCAGCCCAATAATATGAACACATATGAACACCAACCCCAGGGAGATCACAAAACAGTGTCTGAACTACAAGACAAATTGCTAAACAAGCTTCAACACTGGACTGGAACTACAATCTTCCTCAAGCTTTCCTGTCAAAACTGCAACACCACAGAACTCATTCTTGCTTTGGCTTAGTGGCCTCCGGGTGAAAAAGGCTGGCCGTGAGATGTTCCGCACTTTTTGAGGGTCCTCGTTTTGCATTTCAGATCTG